TGTATATATATATATATATATATATACAGTTTATATATATGTGTGTGTGTATATATATATATAATTTCCACCATTTTGCCACTATTTCTCCCCCAACCCCTCAGAATCTGGTGTTCTTGGTTACCAAAGAGACAGCGTCAGTAAAGAGCATGCTTAAAATATATCATGATGTTTGAAGAAAATGAAGAGAAATCAAAGTAAATATCAGTTGTGAACAATACATTTGTTATGCATTATTTCCAGTCATACTGTAATTGTATGCAATTAGGATACATTGAAAAGTTATTTCCATCACAAAATGTATTTAAAGACAATATGAAATTTAAGATGCTATGTAAATTATACTATGATGGAAATGAAAAGTCAAAATTCCAACAAATTCCCCTGTGATTCTTTTAAATACTCTGTTGAACATTGTTAGTAGACAAATTAAATAGAGTGTGAAAAGTTTCTTCTGAAGGAATTTATTTAAACTACCATTCAACATTTTTGGGTCAGTAAGATGTTTAAACGTTTTTGAAATATCTCTTCATCAAGGCTGCATTTATTTGTTTAAAAATAGTAATATTTTTTATTTTAAGATTTTAAAATGTAATGTATTCCTGTAATGCCAAAGCTGATCGCATGATTCTTCAGAAGTCATTTTAATATGCTGATGTGCTCCTCAAGAAACATTTCTTATTATTATCAATGTCAAAAACATTTGTGTTGCTTAATGTTTTTGTGAAAACTTTGTACTTTTTTAAGGATTATTTGATGAGCAGAAAGCTTAAAAGATCAGCATTTATTTGAAAATTCTGTCATTAATTACTTACCCACGTGTCATTCCAGTATGACCTGTATGATTTTCTTTCATCTGTGGATCACAAAAGATGATGTTTTGAAGAATGTTGGAATAGGAACCACTTTTAGTTCCTGTTTACTGTATTTACATGTATGAACAAAAATAACTTGACAGGAACTGAAACTGTGTGGTTATCAACATTCTTCAAAATGTAAAAAATAAATGCATGTATGTTTGGAATGACAATAAAAGATTTGAGAATGTAGTAAAAGATTTTTCAAAATGTATTATTATTATTTTTTTGGTGGGGGGTGGACTGTCCCTTTAATGCATCCATGCTGAATAAAATAATTAATTTCTTCCATCAATCAATCAATCAATCAACCAACCAACCAGTCAATCAATCAATCAATAAATAACTCTTATTAACCCAGACTTTTGAGTGATCTTTTGAAAGTCCACAGTGCCAAAAATGGCAGTAGTGGAAGAAACACCCTTCTAAAGAATTAGTTATTTATCCACTATGCTGTTACTAGAGAGATCGTTGTTATTCTGTGTTTTGGTGCAGTGCGTTCCTGCAGCTCCCTCTAGTGGTCAGTGTTTAACAATGCTGCCTAAATTTTGGGGACTGTAACTGCTTATACTAATCAACTATCTCTTTCTACAGTCGTGTGATGACTTATAGGGAACACGGTGCTTGGGTGGTGAAGGCACATCTGCAGAAGGAGCCTGAGGGACACATTATCAGTGTCAGGTAACTGCTTTTCTCTCTGACATAATTTCTCTTATTTCATTTAAAGAATATACCTCATGCCCTTCTTGTATTTAGCTCACAAGTTAGTTCTCCTCTCTTGTAGTGTTAATGGAGATGTGCGGTTCTTTGACCCACGGACACCAGAATCAATTAACATCTTGCAGACAGTGAAAGGACTGACGGCTCTGGACATCCATCCACAGGCAAACTTGTTCGCTTGGTGAGAGATGCACCTGCACCTTTATACATAATTTATACAATTAGTTCTATTGTGCAAAATGTTGCTGTTTAGAAAACAACGCAGAAGACAAATGCTTCCTTGCATCAATGACCCTCTATACACCTGGCATTAAGGTCCACATGTACTTCACTGAACTTTCACTGAACTGACACACGCATTATAAAGTAGAGATACACACTTCTCAAGACACATTCTGGTTGAGTTTAAGGTGCACTTGCACAACGCATAACGCTTTTCACAATGCATATCGTTTCAAAGCAGCTTCAAAAATATATATATATTTTAATTCTACAATAATTATATTCAGTTTATTATATTTGGTAGACTGAATAGGCCACGTGCTATCACTCGTACCTGAGCAAATTGAGTGCCAGTGCACAGAGTCAGTCACAAATAACATGTTTACATAGTCTAATAATAATAAGTTATTGCTCTCCCACATGTCCCGCATTGTTCCGCAGAATCACATCTGCTCACTTGTGACAGAGCAATAACAAGGTGGTCACCCTAGTCCTGATATGCTTGTAACTCATGCCTCTTTTTAAACCATTTTTCTCTCGTTCTCTCACTTTCTCTCTCAAGTGGCTCTATGAATCAGTTTATAGCTGTGTATAACTCCAATGGGGATGTGATCAGCAACATTAAATACTATGATGGTTTCATGGGGCAGAGAATTGGAGCCATCAGCTGCCTGGCCTTCCACCCTTACTGGGTAAGACAGATTTCGCAATGAAGACAGTCTTTATTACTATGAGCTGCAGTGTTGGGAAAGCTCATTTGAAACTGCAAGTTGTCAAGCTACAAGTTACGCATAAATTAAAGTAGTTAAACTAAAAGTAGCTATCCACATTGAAGCTACTGTAAGGGGCAATATTTTTAAATATATCGAATGATATAACTTACTATTTTAGCAGTATGATGCTAAAACAAAAATTTGCATAACGGCATAAAACTTGAACAAATAAATTTACAATAATTAAACATATTTGAATTTATAACTTGATGGTAGTGATGAATAGCAGCATGTAAGTAAATATTTTACTAATACTAAAAAAATTTCTCTTAGAAGCTACAATTAATCTGTGAATTATTTTAGAACCATTAGAATTACATGACCCATCCGAACTAACCAAATCACTAGAATAAATTGGACCTCCAGAGACTACTTATAAAAAGGACACTTTTTCTCCCAGTTGACATGTTGAAATTTTGATTCCAAAACCTATGGCTAAAGGAATGGTGGAAGACCAGCCAAATACTACCTTAACTCAGTAATGCCTCCCTTTATTATATCTATACAATGGAACCAATGTAAACTATTTTTGCTTTTACATACATCCACATTAACAGATGTCAGTAAGGCCACTGTGGTATTGGCCAACAAAACAAAAAATTACTTTGTACACCTTTTATAACATTTGTATTAGAAAATTAAAAACTATATTTTTCTTTATTTTACTTTATCAGCCTCATCTTGCCGTGGGCAGTAATGACTACTACATGTCCATCTACTCAGCAGAGAAGAGACTCAGATAACATCATGACCGCTCACCTTTGACCCCTGCTTGCCCCCCTTGGATGTAAATGACTTCCTGTAAATATGCAACAACCACAATGAATGTCTAAAGAAGGCTGCTGAACCCACACATGATGACTATATTAAAATGTTTGCTTGCTTGCTTGTTTGCTTTTTCCTTTTTCCTTTCACATCCTAGTAAAAATTTCTGCAAGCAAATGGGAACTTTTATTATGAGGTGACTGATGGAAACAGGCCCGGATCAGATATTGAGAAATATGTACCCAGCTCATAGACAGTTACCTCTGGGACAATCATGTCACAATCAAATTACACTTTTAATTCATGGCATAAAATCAAATAGATGAATGGAAGAAAAAATGAATTAGAGTATGTTTTGAAGCTCACCTCCGGGATTAGTTGAATTGACCCTAGTCCTGAGTCTACTGTTCTGTATTATGAGATGATGAAGGTAAAACGTCATTGTGTGTAGTTTTCCATCAACTTTAGTGCCCTGCTTTTCTGATGTGTCACTGATAATGTTAATGTTATGTTGTTAATGGTTTATGTAATATCTGTATTTTATTTTTAACCAGATAAGTTAAAAAAAAATTTTTTCATCTTTTAATCTCTTCATTTACTGTCCTTCTTTTTTTCTTTGTTTGTATTTTTGGCTTGCATTTCTTGGTATGGCTGCCATTCTCTTGCTGTTGTTGCATTAATCACTGAAGGGAAAGAGAAAGCACCTTTATTTGTCCGTCACCTTTCCTTAGGACTCTCAGTCTCTTTTTTGATTTTCTGCCCCCTTTGGACATTTGTTTTCATCTAAAGGAGAATTTGGTTTAGCACTTACCAGTGGATTTGTTCATGAATTGTGCCAGTATGAGATTACATTTTCAGCTCCTTGTCAGGGAGTGGGGGATGTACTCTGCCTTCATCAGATTGGAAATCACTGCTCTACTAATCCTCTTTTGGGTTTTAACATTTTAAAGAAAAGATAAATTAGTTAAATGAATTGAAACAATCGGGTGTTTTTCTGTGGCTGTAGACTGCTTTTTCACCATGGTTTAAAAGACGAATAGCAAGCATTCAAATAAACCAGATATGTAAATGTACAATTTGCAGTATTTGTCACTTTGTTTATTTGTCCGTTTGTTTCTGTCATAATTTTTCCCAGGTCCTCCTAATGTTGTCTTAGGTCAACATGTCATGTTTTTTTTATGCTAAGTGCTATTATTACTATATATATTCTTGAAAAACATTTGTTTTCAGGAACAATGCACGTCCATGTGAGAACTTGGCTTCTGCTTGTTTTCAAAGACATAGAATCACTGTTACAGAAGTAGTAATCAGTGAGCAGTTTAGTTTAGGGTTTTAGTTTAGTTTAGTTTTTTTTAAGCATTTCTCTGTTGTTCTCTGCTGGTTTACAACTGGAAATAGAAGGCTTTTACCTGAAGAGTAATGACACAGGTTCACCTCCACCTCCTGTCCACTGAACCATCCTCCTGCTTCGTCAGAGAGACGCAAATCCAGCCAGAGTGAACATTCCAACACTGGGCCTCATTTCCCCAGGAAGCAACACTCACTTCCTGTGAAATTAAGAGAACAGAGACTGTGTGAAGTGATAACTAGGCAGAGGTAAAGCCCTTCATACACAACTCCTCCCTCGATCTTCACTTCACTTTGTCCTACAGCAAAACATACGTACACACTAGTTAGAAGTGCTCAGCCATGTGGGTGAAGATTCAGCCCTCTCTAAAGATGGGCACCTTGTGCCACCTCCTCCTCTTCCTCTTCACCTGTAAGGACACTTTTATTTCTAGTACTGTTTCAAGTGGATGTTAAGGTTGGTTTGGATATAAACTTGATTTTTGTCTTTTTTTCTTTTTTTTTTGGTCTAACTGTGTTTGACAACATATAACACCATCAGCAGAGGAAGCCTGCGCAGGTCTGTAAATCACTCAGTTCTCAGCCTTGTATTAAGTTATTCAGTTTCAAAATGTCATAATCATTGTCATTTATCAGTGGAATCTGTACAATTTTACTGTGTGAAGTGGTTGATTTTGGTTTGTTAAATTAAATCGTAATAGGGATTTTGGAACCTCACATTTATTAATAATAGAAATCCTTATAATTTGGACTAAAAAATATTGTGACTTTGTACTGTTTGTTTTTGAAAACATGTTTATGTGTATTGTCACATGCCCTGGTTCTGGAAAGTAGTGGGAAGTGGTAGAGACATGAGGACTTAAGTAAGCCGTGTGATGTAATTCGTCATTCGCTTTCGGCATGATGCTCTTAGAATTCGATAGCCAAACATTATAAGCTTGAATCAAAATCTGATAATCTGCATATCATTATAACTGGTAGAGCTATGTGTACTGTAATACGTTTTAGCTCACTTTATTATTAACCAATTATTAACTTTGACAGCTTTTTGGAACTGTTCATTTATTCAGCCCTGCGGTGTGGTCTGTTTATTACAAATAAAGATTTTCATCACTAATACTAATTAGTTGGAACTTTACATACTTACCTGCTACTTTACTTGCTTGCTTATATGGAATATTAACATAAAAATTCATTAATTTGTCACACCGCTGGACCATTACAATGAGCTAGAAAAGAAAAGTTAAGTCTGTAAGTTTAATCTATATGTTGACTCTACATGTCCATTTGTGAACTACCCAAATATTTTATGTAGTTTCGTTGTTAATGTGACATTGAAACTGCAACTGCATGGAACCTTACATACATAAGTATTACATACATATTATTGCAAAATTATGAAATTATGTGTTGGTTTCTGCCATGTGTGCGTGTGAATGCGTGCAGACAGACGTTTCTAAAATAACTCTCATCCCCAGAGATGGAAGCTTCTAAATATGTTTAACTATTTTCCTATCCGCCCCAATGTTTATGTACACCATAGGGCACCAATAAGGGGGGCAGATAATAAGGCTAATAGGACTGTTGTAAGAATATCAAATGCAATGCTAAATGAACCACTAAGGGGCTAAGATCAGTATGCTCATAATAATAATAATAATAATATGTATGGTAATAATAAATATAATATGTAATAGTATGCTCATAAGATAGTTCAGGGCTTCAGTAGTTAATTGAAGTAAATCTGAGTATATTTTACACCACCACAGTTTAGTTGAATCAGTCTTCTGCTGCAGTGTAAACTGTAACCAGTAGCAGTTTGAGTGGAATTAATTTCTGTGATGCAGAATCTCATTCCTTGAAACACCCACCACCATCTAAGTGGTAAAATTGCTTTATTTCTCCACAGAGTCTGTCATAAAAAGTGTGCAACTCATTATCCATCCGAGAAACGAAGTTGAAAGAGGTACAAATGTGTCATTGATATGTCAGGCAGAAGTGAGCCACAGGCTGGGGTCTCACCCCAACTATAAATACAACTTCTACAAAGATTTTCAGCCATTAAATACTGACCAGACCAGTTCTACGAACCACCTCTACTCTATACCAGATGCCAGAATGGCCCACTCTGGGAAATATAAATGTGCTGTTGTCATTGAGGAGCAAAAGAAGGAGAGCAGTGTCAAAGACCTGACAGTGAAAGGTAGAGGAACACATCAGTTCAATGTGTTGAAGAATTGCTCTCAGAATTCTAATATCTGCTGATGTTTCTGCAGGTCTTCAGACACCAGTCCTAACAGTGGATAAACTGAAACTGAGAGAGGGAGATGATGTTACTGCTGTCTGTACAGCAGAGGGAGAAATAGGTTCTTTGACATTTATCTTTAGTGATGGATTTGAGGAAATCTACACGGAGAGCACAGTCAGTCACCGAGTTGAGCGGCAGCTAGCCCTTACTAAAGGAACTGTGAATATATTTTGCTACTATTCTATTAAATTGCATAGCACAATAGAACGCTCTAATGAGAGTAATGTGATCAGTCTTGACATTCAAGGTACGTCAATATATTTTTTTCATAGTATACTGTATAATAAATGTATTTGTTCATCCAGGAAGTGTAAACATGTCCACATTCCTTTCCAATTCAGAGCTGGAGATCAATCCCAATATTAAAGTCAATCCATCAACATATGTCATTGAAGGAGATCTCATAACCTTCAGTTGCAGTGTTGATACAACTTACCAAAGAAATTCTGATCTCAAAATCAATCTCATCCATGGACATACCATGCTCAGTTTGAACATGACACAGACAGATTACAAAATGTCTGCTAAGGCTAATGACTCTGGGGAATATGAGTGCATCTCAAGGCTTGGTGGTGTTTCTAAAACCTCCGCTATGAACATCACTGTAAAAGGTGAGAGACAATGAATGCTTATCAATATTTCCTAATGTATTCTTTGTGAAATTTCACCTTAAAATAAGATTAACTTCATGACCATGGGCCATCAGTATGCAGAAAGGACAAAAATAGCTTAATAAAACAGCTATAGAAATTGGTCAATGTGAATTTTATGTTATATTACAAGTCTTCAGATGCTGAAACGTTTTTGTGTGAAAATCCTTTGCTGCGGTCACACCTTAGAAAATGTATTTTAGACCTTTTTTTGCTTTCATACTGAAAGGCAGTGAGCATTAAGCACAGTCTGGTCTTGTCTACCCAAACACTTTTAAATAAATTATACGTTGATAACTGTTTGTATATTTTTGCCTCAGAGCTTTTCTCCATGCCTTTCCTGAGCATTCACCCAACTGAGGTTTTTGAGGGAGAACACTTCACCATCAGCTGTCAAATCAGCAGCTTTGCCTCAGAGAGGATTCGAAAGGATGATATAAGATACTCAATATTGCAAGACAAAACACCTGTAATAAATGGTAGCATATACAGTGGCACTGCAGGCAAAGCGTCCAATGGGAAATATATATGTGTTGCTGAAGCCAAAGGGATTATCAAAAAGAGCGAGAGGGTGCTGTTTGAAGCAAAAGGTAGGCAGTGCCTGCTCATCCACTTTGTCTAGAAAAACAAAAAATATGATCAATATAAAAGAGACAACACTTTTTTTGTTAATTAACCATTGTTTCTCTTAAGTTCTCGTTTCAAAGCCTGAGATCTCAGTTGATGGTCCTGTTATCATGAATGAGTCATTTTGGATTCATTGCCACTCTGACAATGGAAGTCTGCCAATTGT